ACTATCATATATATATATATATATATATATATATATATATATATATATATATGTAATCGCTTGTTTTCCTCTTATGTGCCATCTGTATTTCCCCTGTTGTTTTGCTGCAGTTTTCTGGGGCTGTAGCAAATGCCGTGCATACTGGAAAAATAAAACGACGAGCGAGTGCTGAGCAAAGCACTTACACTGGGTTACAAAGCACCAGTATGATTCGATGCGCCCTGTGAACTCAGATGATTAGCACTAAAAGGATCAGGTGAGGGCTGTATCCTCTCGATGCCACTCGGAACCATTAGTGAGCACATAATCTCGCAAAACCATGGCCAAAACCGTCAATAACTTCCACAACTATCCAGAACTTTAAGTTGGGAGTCTGAGAGAGGTGGATTAACATACTGATCCTTATAAAACATTTAGTTTGCTGAAATAATTCACAGAGAACACTAAACAACATTAGGGCGAATATCATACCGCATCTCTCGTGTTAGGAGTTGGGCGTCCCAAAAGACCGGTTTCACTCGCTTCTGCCGGTATCGCTCCAGGAATCACAGCCTCTGACCTAACAAGTTCCTCATCCTCTTCTTCTTCACGAGCCAATTCTTCTTGTTCTTCCAAAATGAGTAGCTCCTCTGATTCAGCCCAGATACGAATGCTGAAGTCGCGACCACCAGAAACAATAAGTCCTCCAGAAAGTTCATCGAAGTCATCTTCGTCTTCCAGATCCGCCTCCGTTTTATCATCTTTCCCTGCCCTTCTGTTCTTAAACTTCTTCTTCTGAATGTTCTTTGCGCTCTTTGCGAACAGTGCAGCGTTAGTTGCAATGGCATCCAGGCAAGTAACAGATCCACGGTGACCCTGTATATGGAAAAGCATAAAGAACGGTTGCAGTTTGTCGACAAACAGATGATGACCTAATATACAGAAAGTTACTAGTGTCAGAGAAGAAAAACCAGTGTACCGAATAAGAGCTAATCGTCAACAAGGGGTACGATGTCTAAAAAATGGAGGATCAGTTAGCAGGCGACAGAGGATGGGTATGAACCCATAATGAAACAAACTTAGCTGCACATTACATCGCCACAAATTCCATCAGATCACAAACTGACAAAAGAACGAAAGAGCACAGTGACGACAAAACGAGTTGCTTCTGACTGTAGAGACTTGTGCTGTGAACATTTGGGACAATGTTTTCTCACAGAAACACAGCAAACAATGAAGCATACAATTTGTTCTCGCTGTACATAGAGTGAAGCCTGCGAGACAGGTTGTCTATATTTATAGCTGGCGATGTAGAGGGATTTTTGAACAGCAGGTGCCAGAACCATCAAGTAAAAAGCCGAGAAGCTGACGTAATACTCCCTGAAGTGAGGTCAAAACATGATTACTGAGTCCGCAGAAGGCACACTGTGCTGACACCTCTTCCAGTCAGGTTAGGCGACTGAACTGCCCCAGTATCAGTTGTGAACCCACGGGTATAAACCAGGTGCATTGAATGAATTGACCAGTATTAGTCAGGTTAGGTTTTCGGTATTGGTTCGGCTTGTGGAACAGCGGAATAAGCATCACTAAATAACACCCGAAAATACGAATTTACAAAGACGAAGATTAGAATAGTTATTGTTACCACCATTGCCAACAGGTGCAGCAATTCACATCGTTTACCAAACCAACAGTTTGATTCTCTATCCTATGGGGTCAGTAAGTTGAATTGGATAACTTACAGCCGTTAATTTACCTCAACTTAGAACCTGTGGTGCATAATTATGTGGAATTAGATTATAATTGGAACCTATCTGGTATCCGCTTGGATATAAAACTGGAGAAGTTGGTTGTCGATCAGGTGGCTTTTGACCTGTTCGCCAAACTTGGCAATGAAATGCAAACGCTTTCTCACCATACGAGCAGACATCAATGCGCGGTGGTGTGGGCTGCGAACAGATCAACAGCCAATGAACTCATTCGAGCTACCAATATTTCAACAAATTACTGACTAGAGAAGTATCAGCCAGGAAGTCGAGTTGTGGCGAAATTGCAAGTTTCCCATTCCAACAGTCCCTCACTATCCAGATCCATGACTATCGCGTCTACTTTCTATTTCGTATATGGGAGATAACCGTTTCAGATAATACCCCAATAAAACCGGAGACTCATCTGATGACCCTCATTCTCTTCTGACCACAATAGACAAAATCAGTAATGACTAACTTAATCAATCCGCTGGGGTGATGGAAACGGCTTAGTGCGGAAAAGTCCAGTACATCCCGTACGTGTTGAAGAAGGGAGATATTACAAAGCGGCAAAAAACTGCACGAATAGTGCGGAAACTGACTGTGCTTACCTTGAGTGTTGTCACCTCGCGCAATTTGGCCACGTCCCACTGCTTTATCTGTCCACTCATGTCACCAGAAACCGCGAGAGCCGTATGCGGTATAAACCGTACACAAGTGACGCTGTGGCAAGAATGACAGATGTGTGAGTTATATTACAAGGAAACGGCATGTTATGATAGCGACGAAATACACTGACGAGGAAAAGCATAACCTGTTAGAACGATGGTGCACTACAGTGCTCTCGATGGGGACAAGAAATGTCTCCCTGACGAGGACGTTTCGCCTTAGGACTAGTAACTAATAAGAACCGTATCGCAAGCTTCTCACGTCAAACTAGCTATGAGAAGTCAATTATATCCCGATATTTCGAACAGCCTTTGCAAAGAGTTTTGCTTCGTATACAGTGAATGCACCAATTAATCAATAATTCTGCAAATCTGTGATTGACGCGAAATACAAAACAACATTCGTCTCATCCCCCAGTACGATCAGCAGTAGGTGCTATGAACAGTCGGCTGGCCGGAGGCCTCTTGCTCCTCTAGAAAAGCTCCAAAAGATTTGCTACTCAAGCAGCCATTGCCTCCTCCTGTTGCAGATATTTCAAAGTGAACGGTGACGGCGGATGTCCGCTGCTATAACCGCGCTGACAGAACGTTGGATTATCTGTCTGGTAGGCAGGCTAAAGTGTGAACAGAAACCCTCAGTGAATGGCGTATGGAACGCTGCTGATTCCTGATTTGGAATTAGGACAGGATAAGAAGTTACTCAATGGTGGACATATGGGTTCTTGGGTAGTCTGAACATCGTGGATGGCTGGCTTCCACTCGAAAGACATGCAAAACGAATCCCGCGCGTTCTATGCAAGGGAACTTCACGCCTAATTCTGTTCTTACACGAATTACATATTCGTTCACACAGCTGTATCCAGTGAGGATTCGTAAATCAAGACTTTCCCGACCTAGGCAATCAGATACTACTGTTGAATACATTTATGGGGAATGTGGTGCGGCGCTAGCAAAACAGTTGCTCGACGTGCCTTCGGGCAGGAAATACACATGAGGTCTCCAACTACACGAACCATGCACTCACTTCTGTGCTTATACCAAAGTTCTTCCACAAAACATCTCAACCTTCTGTTAGTCAGTGTTCATCTTTTCACCGGTCATCTATCTGCCAAGAGGGGCTATTTGTTTTGTTTCACCCAAAAAGCATCATCACAATCAAACCTCGTATAGAACGAACGACAAGTTAAGCTGACTGCTTACGTCCGACCACTTCTCAAAACGAGTCGACAGATGGGATTATCCACAACTCTGGATACACTTCATACTGATGGGCGCTGCCTTTCTGAAACAGACTACAATATCCGCGCACAGTGATGGCTTCGTCTTCAAGACCTTCACCACAAATTGCATTCACTAAGTTTTGCTGGCAGCACCGAAACGATGGCATCGGGACAATTTCGTGTTTGGATCGCACTCGACCCTACCGCTACATCGGTCCAATGAATTCCATGTGTATCATGAGACTCACAGAACTTTCAGGGCTTAAATCAGGTCTACCGGATCCACGATACTTCAACACCATTGACCGCATGGATACTAGTTCAGATCGAATGTGCTACCAACGGGTGTGAAGACTGAGTTCCCTGGGTGACTCATAACATCGCGTATTTCCATCTCAACTACCTGAGTTTGAACCACTCCAAGGGCAACTTCCAAATGGCCACTGGTCTCACTTTGAAAATTGTGGACGCATGTTCCATCAATAAAAAGTGCAAAACGTTACCTTCCATACATGTGCTTTAAAACATTGGTCACCTTACACATGAAACGTTGTGTATATTCGGTAGAGATGATACGTCGGGAATACGCCAGTAATTCCTCAATTTTTTGGGACCAGAGGCAACTCACGCTCATTGTTGACGTAAAACCCGAAAAACTTCCCACCAGTTTTGTTTTATCTACAATTTCGTGTACTACAAAAGACAAACCCATTACCCTGTACCATCACATTCTATAATGTCATGTACGTCATCATAAACAAGTGGCTGCATATAAACAAAAAAAAAACAAAAATGGTTCAAAATAGGAAACAAAGTTGATGGAAACTCAGGGACCAGTTCCAGCTGACGAACCCCAAAGGTGAAACCGGTAGTGAGCTGCTAGAAAGCTCCAGGAATTTTATAAACAAGGTCAACAAAACAATATAATTTATCACAACGACACCATATATTGCCACACTGACATTCCTAAAAGCAGTGCTTTGTGGGCGCCTTAAGTCAAGCCGAGTCCCACCAAGGAAAATCGCTGAAGTGCCGGGATAGTCTACTAGTAGTGCAGGTGAGGTCAATCGTCTAAAGTGACATAAAACAGTCAAGCCGAGTCCCACCAAGGAAAATCGCTAAAGTGCCGGGACAGTCTACTAGTAGTGAGGTCAATCGTCTAAATTGACATAAAACAGTTCCATGGTGGCGTTTCCTCCGAGAGTGGGTCGGATGTTCGGCAAACCCGACAGTATATCCTCCACGCATGCATCAGATTCAACCGAAACGCGGCAGAGTGCAACAAAATTAAAACTGCACGTCGCCAAAATTGTGACCTTCATGGACCTGTTTGCTCTTGGATAAAGTAATTTGTAACTTCGAGAAATATTGCCTACTCAGACAAAACGGTTATATCATAACACCAGGGATGAAGACCTGAAAATCTGTGGAGCTGTAAAAGCTTGACTGGCCCGATAACTAGTTAACAGTTTGACCTGCTTCGCTCTAATCAAACCATAAAACCGGACATTTAACGACGATCCCTACTTCCTCATCCTTGTCTTCATTTTACCCATTCAAAGTAGTGCATAATATAAACACAGTACAGCAACCGTAATAAACGGAATGGGGGCACCACTGTGTACCCTTAGAAAGAACGACAGGGAGGTAATCAATAAGTATGGTGACACTCAGAAAGAACGGAGAAACAGTTCATACGTGGGGATTACTTGCTATGGCTAAAGAATTTTTCCAGAGATAAATTCGACTGTGGGTGCGAATTCGATTAGGATGATGCAACAAGTACGGGTGAATGACAGCAAGTGAAACGTACGGTTCTACATGTGACGTAAAACGTCGTTGACAATTGCCAAATTGCAACTCCCACAGACGTACAGTCTTATCTGCACTGCCCGTGATTACCAAACGACTGTCAGCTGAAACGTCCAAACTGGTCACCGGCCCGGCATGTCCGTAAAGAGAATGCACACGCTAGTGGAAGAGGTGATAAATACTACTGTGTAATGACTGAGCAACCTAGGGTGAATCAGGCGCATTGAGAAACAGCAAATAAAACATGCTCATACCCAGTCTATAGGGCCGGAACTGAGAGGAACTAGAAGTAGGGTGCGTTGCAACAAACTTCACCCAATATCAAAACTACTCACAAGAGTGGGTGTTGGACAATCGTTTCAATACAGTCTAGACTGACAGCATTTCAGAGAAGACCCTGAAAGATACTAATCACTGAATTCGCATTGTAAAACCAGAGCTTGGTGTTTCATTGAGTGGAGACGAACAAAGACATATCTTAGAAGTGCTTCTACTGAGTGTCTGTTGCACAGTAAATTCAGGCCAATCCAATGCGATCCTAAATGACTACAGATATCCTCCGGAGACCGGATAACGTGGAGAAAGGGGTGTTGTGACCTCTCTTGGCAGTGACCTGTCCTCGAAGTGGATTTTACACTAAAGCCGTGGCCGACGCGGAGCGATTTTCTTGCCTCTCTCGAGGAGAGGACACAATAAATCAACTGGAGTGAATTGAATTTCAGCGGAGTGCGTTGTTTTCGCAACTATCGTTTTCAGTTGGTCGCTTTCAAACGGCAAATTGGTCGGTTTCGACGTTGCAGCATAAGCCAACAGTCGGAAAATATGGTTTCCGATGGCGCCGGGTTCAACCGATAGGACTGAGAAAGTTCGATGATGAACAACGAGAAAATGAATGACATCGAAATAGGTAAAACAGCATAAGGAAACGACGACCATCGCACTAGTCCAGTTAGAATATAAACGAGCGTGCAATGAGGAAGCAGGTTTTTATCTCCACTAAAGAGATGTAGCCTCGTGCAAGCAAAAACGGAATGCCTATCCTTGAGAAAGTGGCACACCTCCGTGTTCCTTACAGTTGAGAGGTGCTACCAGTAGTTTATATGTTGCGTAGGCATATATGACTTCCCAGATAAAGTGAGGGTTTTGCTTGAGTTATCTGGTTTTGATTCTTTAGGTCAACAAGCTGACCAACAGGGCCATGAGTGCGAAGGTCTTCTTTTGGTGCCATAATGTCAACCTGTGATCTGAAGGTCTGGCTTACTTGGAGCTTCTAAACTCGAGGACACAAGGAGTGTACCGTAGAAGCCTTAAACCTGATGATGCTGTGTGGAGTAGGTGCTTGGAGTTGATTCGAGCATTCAACGTCTGCAATAATCTCGAAAAGACGGGCAGGATGCGCTCGGGTGATTTTGAAAGATTTCCCTCATTGCAGATAAGTCCCCAAATCAGACTAGGAAACTTTTAATAGCTTCTCGAAGGGTGGTAACGCGTGAAGTTTCTTATCATTTCTATTGGTCAGTAGTTGACCACGTGCAAAATCACGATAGGGAAACCACATGCTCATGCCTTCCGTGGATACTGAAACCCAGAGAGCCAGGCGGCCAATTCCTCTGGAAACATTTAATGAGATCTGATTACGGAGAATGACCTCTTTCAACCAAGATTTTAGGAAAAGATCCTCCTCCTGGGTAAATATCTAGATAACTTTCAAGATCACAGCTTTGTATTCGTCCGAAAAGATGACCAGCAAGGAACCACACCCAGGACAGTTACAGGCTATTTGGCGGAAACACAACATACATCTGCAGTAATCCTTCAAGAGGAAGGGAGGCCACAACAGCATTTCCCACACTGAAGAAAGACACCAGTATCTTCTTTTCGAGGTATTAATGCATACGGGAAAACTAACCTTGAGCGAATCCGAAAAGTGTACATCCACATGGAAGTTGACCAAACCCGCAATGATGAGGCGACCATTTGGCGTGACACCCAGACACGTTATCTGGTCTGCCACCGATTGATGTTGGCGGGCCTCAACGAGACACAGGGTTGGAGTACTACAACAGGTTAACAGAAGTGTCAAAATGCATTTATTATATTTAGAGACTTTCAGTGAAAAGAAGAGAAAAGAGTGGATGAGGGAGGGGACCTGGTGCTGCAAACATTTTGTGGTGCCTACACCTCGGAGCGTTAAATCAGGCAACCTGGAAAGCAACTGACGGCATGAACCCCACTAACGGACAGGCCATAGAATTGCAACATTAGTGGCTAGATAGCAGGTGAGCCACCACTAGAGAGCAAATAAACCGGGGAGCGAGTGGCAGGGAGGCAAAACAGCTTGGCGGTAAGCAGATGTAAATCAGCCTACTCATGAGTAGCCAAAACAGGAAATTATTCGCAGGACGAATCGACAGCCTGACGGAATGGTCACTCGGTGACAGAGCTACAGAAACCAATTCGCTGCTCCCACTCACCCATTTCCTGATATCTTCAGATCAAAGTTGTAGAATCCGATCTGTTTGTCTGAGCCACCAGAAAATATCATTTTCTACAAAAAAAGGAAGACAAGGAATGTTCGACCCCATCAAATTATCCTTATTGCGATAGAGGAGGAAAAGAACCGGCACTTCTGGCTACATAACCAACCAACAGGTAGTTGTGAGCTCGGAGCTAATATGCCCGGAGGGAACGACGTGTGAATTAAAAGACTGCTCTCCGAAGTTGAACATACATTCCGTAGCGTTGTTACACGGTATTCCGACTGGATATCAGTGACCAAGGCGCCACAACCACTTGGTACTCCTGTTTATTGGATGATTGATTGGTTGACGACCTCCCTTATCTTTATGATTGTTGCCCGCCCTGCGTGAAACGCTACGTTGACACAAATCTTTTAATCTCACAAAATTTATGAAGCAATGATAATTCCCCCTCCTCAGAGAGGCCACTTTCCCGCACGCATTCCGTTTCCAGATTTCTTTTGAATTTCCAATCCCGGAAGTGGCTGCCCATACCTCCCGAGAGGATTCAAGACTCCGTCCCAAAACACAGAGCGTGCTCTGAATCGAATCGACGAATCATAGGCTCGAAAACACGAATAAAAGCTTCAAAAAACCTAACTTCGGGACTCCAGCGAAAGTGCCGATGGTTTTTGGATTGCTCAAAAGCTAGTTAGGGTGGCTGACCTAAGTCAAATTCGCATCTAGAATTCTTTCGTCATTGAAAGATAAGTGCTGAGCTTATCATTTCATTGCGGAATACACTATGCTGAAGTTCCGCCCTTCTTATGTGGCTCCTTTGGCCCTTTGATTCAGACATCAGTAATTACGTTATGGTTTTCGCACACGCCGTCAGGGAGAGGCTGAACCTTACAGTGGTGTGGCGGTTTGCGCACCTCAGCGATCCATCGGGGTGTACTGGGGGGTGTCCCCGAGACACTTATTATCTCATACCAGCTGGTCAATGATTAGAGGTCTAAAGAACACAGTCTCCTGGTCCTCCAGGTGGGGGGCTGAAACATGTGGCGACTTGGTCCGTAGAAATGGTAATGCATTTGCATTTCCCGTCAAACACCACTGTCTTGCGGTCAGGCTTCTGAGCCAAAGGCTTTGGTTGAGGACGCTAATCGAGCTCCTGTCTAGGTCTGGGCGCCCTGACATCCCACGTACAACCATGATGTGTGGCAGCGAAACATCGGTGTCATGCTGTCAGTGATGATGATTTCGTAAACGGTTTACCCACCGCTTGTTTTTATGGAACTCTGCGTTTGAGAGGCAGTTGGAGAACTCACCATCGACAATATATTGGTCACTTAATGCCACATGACCATGAAGTGGAAAGAAACCGGGAGGATGATGACCAAGTACAAGAGAAATGATCAGGAATAGATTGTATACACTTCTGAACAGCGCTTAAAAATACATTGAAGCATCAAATCAAAGATGCCATTGGGGAGATTGATGCAGCATTGTTTGCGAACTTTCCGCAATACCGTCCCACCTCACAACCACAGACCAATTGTGGCGAAGCAATCTTAGTGGGAAGTGATAGCACGCGCGCCAAGCAATTCAAACAGCTTTCTTTGGAGCAGCAACCGAAACTCATATAAAATTAAAGAGATTCAGTGCGGACAATATCTACGCAAGGAGACAACTTCAGTATAATACCGAATGGTAAGTTCGGAAAGTCAGTTGTGAAAGCCATCATAATTTTTTGAGAGGTTTTATCATAATCTGGTACGCCCATCCTATGCGTTATCCCAGTGCACAAGGAGGTGCCGAAAAGTCCTTTTTTCATTGTGGTATCCCTTTGAGAGGGAACGAAAGGGAGCATCATGAAAGAAATTCCCGGTCGTGAGGTTTATCTGGTGAAGGTAGGAATGGCTCGGGATCTTGCATACCAAGAAGGCCACAAACTGAGGGGGGCAAAAATCACGGGGAACTTAGTCTACACAAACTGCTTGTAGGAACTAACAACTTAAATTATACGGTATCTTGAAGGTTTACGGTAACCAGGAGGTCCATCTAGTCCTTATAGGTCTGGAGAACTTTAAGTGATGGGTGATCATTTTATGGGATGGTCCTCAAACTGACGGTTCAATCTTTTAAGTAAAGTTGTTATCTATAGTGAACACAAATCAGGAAACCTAAAGAATGCCAACTAACCTTGTCGCCACTTAGTATCAATCCGCGAACTGCTCCCTCATGCGCACGGGGAATCATCTGTCTCATCGACTTGGACTGCACGTCGAACAGAAGAAGGTGTCCTGACTGCATAGTGGACAGAAGGGATAAGAACATAAACCATACAAATATAATCCGAGCCATCCACATGGACAGCCAGAAAATAAGAAAATTAGAGGTATCTTAACCACACATCCAGAATGAAAAGTACCAGCGAACCGACAGGTGGCCGACAATCAGCATGTGTGACTAGCCACTATCTTCAAATCACGCAATTCACGCAATGTGAACCGGTGTTAGTATATTTTTTAAGTGATGAATCTTTATTTGAAAGGCCCGTTCAAATTGTGGAGTGTTGTCCTCACTGGTAAACAAAACAAACTACCCGACACCATGCAAATTCACATTTAGGGGTCAACACAACCAACAACCAGTGGGGACTAGATTAAACTGGTTATCAGCTGCAAATACAACCGTTTAAAAGCCGGAAATGAAAAAAGAATTACTCTCCATTACTGAAGAATGGTAAGGGAAGACAAATGGGGGTGATATCTGTGCTCTGAAAATGGACGCATAATAAGTGGCAGGGTTCGCAGCATACGACGGTGGCATAAACAGGATGGCCTTTATACGAACTATACTGACAAGATAATTTTCAGATGCCCAGATTCCTTCTAGATAATTAGTGCTTTCGAAGAACGCATGATGTGGTCCAGCGGCCCAAGAGCGCCTGGGACAAAAAGCAATGAGAGAGTCGCCAAACCCAGTATCACAGACGTTAATTTTATCGATTCCAGCGTAGGAGATTGAACTGAACGGTTTCAGAAAAGACGAGGAGACACGAGTAACTTGTAGATGTAAGAAGGGAGTTATATTTACGGTTCTGAATAACATCGATCAGATCCTATTTTAAGCAGTGACAATAATCGGCATCGTCCATAAACAGAAGTATAAAAACAGATAAAGACGAAATCAAGTGTGGCTCAAGGCTACTACTCACCTCAAAACCTATAACTACATGCCGATCCCCCGGTGCAAGAACCATTGCAGATGCTCTAGTAGGAAAATCCTGCTTAGACCCATTGTCCTCTAAGGAAGCGCCTTCCAAAACGTGCTCCGCGCCTGCACGCGGCCAAGTTAGTGTTGCCAAACATGCTGAAGAGTGTCTGAAAATGAGGAAAAGTCAAGTCGTTTCGACTAAAGTGTTCTCCGGGCAACGCAGCGGATGAGAACAGTTGGCTGAATGGACAAAACCTGATCCGTTGATTGTGCGTTTTTTACAGAAAGTTCACAAATCCCCCACCAACACCTCATATATCAATAATTGATGAGAGATGGAGCACAAATACAATCCGCTAAATTTGAAACCGAAAACATACGATAATATCGACAAGAGAACCCGGAAAATGAAATTTCTTATCTGAATTGTTACTGTGTAACGCAACAGGAGTGAGTTGAAACAACAAATTCAATGATGCATGGAACAAAATACATAACAAGTCACCATTCGGGGTTGGTACAGAATGATTGGAAGGAGAGTGTGGGAAGCTCCTGTGCCTCATCGCCAATCGACTTGCTATAGATGATAAAGTTTGCCTCTGAATAGCTACCAAAATAGCTAGCCCAGAATAGCTACCGGAAATATGAACGCATGACTGCCGCACAATTGAGAAAACGGACGGACATTATAATGGCAGTGGGTATCTCCTGGAAGGTATTGGAACGGGTGCAGCCAGCTACCAGGTTATTGCATGACAGCAGAAACATGGTAATTTTTCTGCATCCTGTACTCATCTAGCGCAGCTGCAACAACCTTTCGGTGTCTAGCTGCTATGCCACCCAAGGGAAGCACGGGGACTAAGATACTGCCACATTGCCTAAACCGAGAGAGGAGCAGTCCAGATGCCGAGGTCCGGTTTGAACCATGGACTTTCCGGTCAGTTGGTGCCCTAACCAGTGAGTTATTTCATACTCTATAGGATCTTCGTCTGCACAAAAAACAGCATGTGTTAGGTCATGCATAGTACTCCCCCAATAGGGAACGTTTCAGAAAGTGATTTCTCTTCGGAAGGGTTGCTTTTAAAAAGGGTTTTCCATGAGCCATGAATTGGGAAAAGTATGAAGAACGGTCGGATTTTGTGACATTATTTAGCAAATATGTCGCGTACGAAAGCTCTCGAATGAACGGGCATTCCTGAAAGGAGGATGTAGATGCCCAAGTCACCAGGTCCGCACAACGAAGTAGTCTAGAAGAAATGTACTTAGAATTCAACCCTTCTGGTGTAATTGTCTGGATGAAGTGCGCATCTCCATCGATCCTGATTGGATCATGGACCCATGGCAAAGGCCATTTCTAACGTCGATTTCCGCAACCAAAGTAAATACGCTGCATTGTGAACTGGCTGAACAGGCCACTCGGTTGATACGGTCTGTGGGTGATGTGGTTGAATGCATTTTTGTGAACACATAAACTAAACCATTCACAAAAACGGGGACAAACTATACATGAAGATGACAATCAATTACGAGGTCAGGGATTAAGGACTACCGCAAACAGCTTGCACAAGGAGCGATACTCAGTGGGAGGAAACTCGAAAATCTGTGACACTACAAAGATGGGTTCAGGAAAGTAGCCAAAACCGCATCCTCCTCTTTAGATAGACTACTCTCATGAATGGGATAGATTTCAGTTTTCTCAGGTAGTTCGCAATCTGGAAGATACACTGTCATCCTCATTTATTCAGATATCCAGTAGAACATCGAACGCGGTGGCGTCCATGCTGCTCTGAATAGGTGAATGAACTCCGTTGAACCATCAGAAAACGACCGACAGCTTGGGTTTGAAAGTGTCTAAAAGGAAGTATTCCCCAAGTGCAAACACTAGTAACAAGGGACCCGCCGAAAGAGGTTGAAAATCAGAAAAGGGCTGAAAGGTTAGACGGTGGGCAAGTTAAAGCTGGAGCAGGATGGCGTGTTTCCGCTGAAAACAAATTCAGGTGACATTCTGTAGGAATATAGAGAAAATCCGTTCAGTAAACGACGGACCTTCCGGTCAGTAAATTCGCGCTCTTAACGACTTGGACCATCTAGCCCTCTCCCCCCCCCCCAAAAAAAAACTGGAAAGCATAATGAAAAAGACTCCGCAAGAAATAATAAACACAGCAACTGAACCATACAACATACCTATTCCATAGTTTGGCTTCCGTGCGTGCCAAAGTGAATACACCTAAAGCATCACCGGTTAGGCAACAAGCAACAGGGGGTGTCCGGTGGCCAGGAGCACAAATTCTGTTAATTAGGCGAACTCGAACACCTTTTGTCTGGATAGATTTCACAACGGAAATAGTTTGGAGCTTCATCGTACTGGCTACAGGTATCGTAACCTCCAATTCATCAATGGTGTTGGCATTCCTGAAAGGAGGATGTAGATGCCCAAGTCACCAGGTCCGCACAACGAAGTAGTCTAGAAGAAATGTACTTAGAATTCAACCCTTCTGGTGTAATTGTCTGGATGAAGTGCGCATCTCCATCGATCCTGATTGGATCATGGACCCATGGCAAAGGCCATTTCTAACGTCGATTTCCGCAACCAAAGTAAATACGCTGCATTGTGAACTGGCTGAACAGGCCACTCGGTTGATACGGTCTGTGGGTGATGTGGTTGAATGCATTTTTGTGAACACATAAACTAAACCATTCACAAAAACGGGGACAAACTATACATGAAGATGACAATCAATTACGAGGTCAGGGATTAAGGACTACCGCAAACAGCTTGCACAAGGAGCGATACTCAGTGGGAGGAAACTCGAAAATCTGTGACACTACAAAGATGGGTTCAGGAAAGTAGCCAAAACCGCATCCTCCTCTTTAGATAGACTACTCTCATGAATGGGATAGATTTCAGTTTTCTCAGGTAGTTCGCAATCTGGAAGATACACTGTCATCCTCATTTATTCAGATATCCAGTAGAACATCGAACGCGGTGGCGTCCATGCTGCTCTGAATAGGTGAATGAACTCCGTTGAACCATCAGAAAACGACCGACAGCTTGGGTTTGAAAGTGTCTAAAAGGAAGTATTCCCCAAGTGCAAACACTAGTAACAAGGGACCCGCCGAAAGAGGTTGAAAATCAGAAAAGGGCTGAAAGGTTAGACGGTGGGCAAGTTAAAGCTGGAGCAGGATGGCGTGTTTCCGCTGAAAACAAATTCAGGTGACATTCTGTAGGAATATAGAGAAAATCCGTTCAGTAAACGACGGACCTTCCGGTCAGTAAATTCGCGCTCTTAACGACTTGGACCATCTAGCCCTCTCCCCCCCCCAAAAAAAAACTGGAAAGCATAATGAAAAAGACTCCGCAAGAAATAATAAACACAGCAACTGAACCATACAACATACCTATTCCATAGTTTGGCTTCCGTGCGTGCCAAAGTGAATACACCTAAAGCATCACCGGTTAGGCAACAAGCAACAGGGGGTGTCCGGTGGCCAGGAGCACAAATTCTGTTAATTAGGCGAACTCGAACACCTTTTGTCTGGATAGATTTCACAACGGAAATAGTTTGGAGCTTCATCGTACTGGCTACAGGTATCGTAACCTCCAATTCATCAATGGTGTTGTTTTTCAGAGCGCACAGAAACTACAAATGGGAATCGAAGCATTTCGGTTAATTGGGTGATGTAAAACCTTGTAGAACAACACTTGATGATGTAATGGGTAGTTTTTTTTGCAACATTTACCTGTAGACGGGTACCCACAATTGTACCATCCTTCCAAACCGGTTTTGCGACATGGACATCACAGCTGGCTGGTTTGGCAGGCAGTGTCAAACGAAGAAGGGGACGTATCATATCCGAAATATCCAGAGATACTTTCGAAGGTGCACCTTCACCTTTGCTGCAAAACAAAGTCAAGGCGTGGCAATCGCTTTCGTGGTAGGATGCGTGCTAAGAATTACCAGAACAACGTTGACGAATGGACCTAGAGACACACTAATAGGTTATGAGAAGCGAAAAAAGATTCCATATGATAGCAGTCTCAGAACCAAATGTTAGCCGCCAACCTAACATAGTGGGATGTGAGGGGTACCTTTGGTGAGCAAGGGGAGCTCAACAACAGGTTCGATGGTCAGAAAAAAGAAAGATGGAGGACCTGTTCGCGAGAACGGATGATGAAGCCATCAGCCTTAATTCTGCATTTCCGTCCAAAATGTGGTATGGTGAATGGGACCAATCTGTGTGTGCCGCAAGGGCATGCGAGGTAAAACGATTCGAACAGAATCAATCCTGTGCTAGGAAGGCTAAAGAGGCAGACGAGTCGCACAACTAGTTGGACGAAAAATGGTCTACAGTGCGAAAATGTGTTGCTTTAAATTGTGTGAATAAGGTAAAAATGTGTGTTCTTTTGTCGCACCGCGAATTCGGTCGTTTAGTTGCGGCTGTTTAGTTGCCCTATACCTCAAAGGAAGCATGACGGCTGATATAATGTCAAGCTTTCCGGTCCTAGAAGAGGACTGCCGTTTCGATAATCAGTGTATCACGCTTTCACGACTGAACTATTTCCGACTTGACGAAACACCATACTATTTTCCCTTGCTATCTGTAGTCCCACTTTAAGTTTCGGCAACCATCTATGAAGCAAACGAAACGAACATTTTCATCACAGAGAAAAGAAAGGAACAGGGCCCAGCGCATCAGTAGGTTTTAGTGCTACGTGATAATAATAATAACCATTCAGCTTCAAAGCCACCCGAAGGGAGCACGAACACTGAGACACTGCCAGGATACCCAAACCCAGACAGGAGCTATCGGCATGCAGAGGTCCTTCCGGCCAATCAGTTCGCGCCCTAACCACTGAGGCATCACGAGCTCTTAATGTTATGCGCAAACATATGAAAACGTGCACACCAAACTCACTCTCTCGCCTTCTTCATCTTTTTCCTTAGTCGTTTCGCCTTTGCTTCCTCATCGAGCACACGGAATACCTCCAAGTTCCGATCGAAAGACTACATGAAGAAAAAATGCAAGAAATTGGGAACCGCATAGCAAAGTGAGCTAGTATAAATGGTACAATAAAAACTACGTAAGCTATCAGTATGGCTACGAAGAGTAAAGTAGGACATTAGCGAAATACACTCATTTGCAAACAAATTTGGTTTTCGCCAGAAACTCAGCAGCCTTATGAGTAGTGAATTACGTACATACATGTATCGCGATATCTCGAATATCGCACCAGCTGAAACATGAGACGGCCTGATGCACCACATTCAGTTGCCAGGAGACATCACAAACGAGAGGTTCAGCTGGGTCCCAAGTGAGTCTCTCGCAAAAACCAATTTTTTTGCAGATGAGCGCATTTCGCTAATTTAGAACGATTTGGTCTCAAGTAGAACACAAGGTTGACGAAAACTTGGGAACTGCGCCTGCCTGGGCCCCGTGAAACTGATCGTGGGCTGTCGAAGAATTCCCAGTGCATCATGTATGTAAACTAGGACGTTGGTCCGACATGTATGATGGGCGCGTTTAATGCTATTCTGTCAACGCATGGAGTGGTGTGGGTGTAATCAGGTGAAGGGCGGGAGTCAGGCTGTGGAAACGGATGTGAGGAGGACGAGAATCTAACAAATTCTTTTAACATTAAGATAGAACAATCAAACTTGCCGCCTTAAACATCACGACCAGGTTTGCTGTCGTAGTTCACCCGTTCTACCCTATGCACTCTAAAATACTGGGACACATACCCCAATCGAACGGGAAACGACATTTGTATCACTTAGTATCTTTTTATTCCAATGGAATCTGGTCAACACTACGTCACATCACCCGAATACCGTGAAGTCATCATCAAGAGCAACCGCATCAGCGTTTAACAGTCGCACATCTTTTTTCTACGCCAAAGGCAGCAACCACAATAGCCTGAAATGCGAGATCAAACGTGAGAGCTGATAATAACCGCTAGGAGAGCGAAACTACATACACCATCGGGTGTTGCAGTAGAAGGAGGTAGAAAGCTGGATGGTGCTGTTATAGACAGGCATCAGCACGATGCATTATGGGGGACTGAGTTTACGACAGTGTTTTTGGTCTCCTATGCATATGATTGTGGCTAAAAAATGAAGATGTGATCAATAATTAGTAATACAAAAAGCCCCTGTTTAGTTTTCGTAACTGCTTTCTAGCAATTATGTGACCTTTCACAAGGTATTTGTCAGCAGCGCAACCTGAAGAAGCTAACGCGCCGACGATGAAACTGCCATATCGAAGCCGGTTAGTTGGCAAGCCAAATACTCGAAGCAGGCTTTGTAGGAGTGCAAATGAGGCATCTTCTACAGCTCCTGTTTTTCCTCCAGCTGTAACAACCATTCGGTGCATAGCTTACCACCCGAAGGAAGCACGAGGGCTGAGATATTACCAGGTTGTGCGAGCCTAGACAGGAGCGAAGAAGATACCGGTGCTTGGTTCGAACCATGGACCTTCCGGTTATTACGTTCTCGTCTTAGATACTGAGCCATCTACTCCGTCAACGAAGAGGACCGGTGTGCCCTTCAGAGTTTGGTTTAAATATTGGCAAGTGATGATATGTGCCAAAGAAGATCCTTTAGACCAGAAACCAAAAGGACCAAATAAGCTATATCTTGTTATGATCCGCTACTACACATCGCTCAAAGAACTGCACCGTCGGAGTTTGAATATTACGGGTGGACCTTGCGATGCACATTTGCATAAAATTAGACCTGATAGTTGAGGCAATTATTCGACCGAACAGAAGCTGTAGTGAGTGAAAATATGCGCAATGTATGTAGTTCTCACCTGACAGAGGATGAACGTCCCAGTTTGGTCGATGAGTAACGTGTGCACTCGTCGTGAACCGGATCGACGAATACATCCCAAAAACTCAGCTTGAATCAAAGCCTGTCGCTGCGACAGAGGAACGACCACTTCTTCACCAGATGCTTCTGTTGGTTCGGCCTCTGATGGGGGAGGTTCGGATAAGTAGGCTTCCTACACAAACGGAGAACGCAACAAAGGAAGGACATCTTATGACTGGTGTTGTAGGAAAGGCAAAGTTATAACAGACGACGGTCACCACGAAATCGCGAAACGAATAGATGGACTTGTCTTTCTTAACGAAATTAAGATGTCTGTTTATAACTGTAGCGGAAACTGACCAAAGGCACAAGAGTAATATGACTTATGTTATAAGAGATGGATTTTTGTCCACAGTGTGATTCGATATTCATGTGGGAGAAGAAATTTTCACATTTTCACAACAGAACAAGTAAGATGTTAAATGAGTAGGTTTCCAACGCTCAATTAGCACAAGAATCACCCCATAAAAACGCTAGTGTTCTGGAATCGTACTGTTTGGTTTAGTCTACCTTTTTTATTTTACCTTCTTATGTTGAAGAAGCTGTTCTGATTCTGATGTCAAAAATATGCACATTTTGGCTGTTACCGTGTGGACCTTGTGACTAAATAACACAAAATATGACATCTATCTGATTATTTTACAAAATAAGCACTTGCATTCACTGCTTATCAACTCAGTGCACACAAAGATCCTTCGATATGAGAATAAAACCTTCTGTCTACCTCCTTTCTTCATGTCAAATTGCTGACCGGAAATGGTCGAATTGTGCGATTTCTTATCGCTATCTTGGTTATGCATTTTCATAATGTGAGATGCATCACCGAATTACTCCTCTATGTGCTCTTATTTGGATTCGGCCTTTCAAATGAGCAGTCCCCTAAAAGTGAGTGTATGGACGAAAAAAATCTGAATACACGAAGGAAAATCGAGTTGCACTCAAGCCCGGTGCAAATAAACGGGGGAGGAAGACTAAATTCGTCTGACGTTCGTCTGGAGATGTGTTCTAAGCTGGAACCGGATCACTCTTCTTACGTGTTTGCTTTTTCTGTCCGTCACAGAACTTTCTCCAAATAAACGTGATTGTTTTCGTTACTCAAAAGCCTTTGAATTTCAGGGCGACGAAATACGGTTACTTAACATCGGTATGACATCAACGCTGAAGACGACGCTCATGATTAGTGGCAGTATTGGGCTTGGGCGGGAAACAGATCCACGAATGCGTTTATCACAAATGACATTTTCTTTTAGATCTAAAAATTTGCCTCCCACCTTCGAAAGGTCAAACTCTGCTTCGATTTGAAAAACACAATAGCTATTCTATCCCCTCAGACTACGAAACGGGTGTGAGTACTAAACTCAGGTGACAATCGTGGTTTGATAGATCCGTTGAATCCAGTAAAGCGTGTAATACCAAAGTGGGGGGTTTACGAAGCGATTTAGATGTAAAACGTCTTGCTGATAAACGTGCAGAGAAAATTGACATTCTGAAGGGCTTTTCTGAGAACAGATGACTCGTAAGTTCAGAATTTGTGAGCAGAAACGTGCAATTCAGACCGAGGTACGGAGAAATCCTGATAGAGGTCATTCAGACTTACTTGATCGAAATAGGTCAGCCTCCATAACCGTAGTTGCGAATCGGCAGTCCCACTCACTAGTAATCGGTCGTCAGTACTCAAGGCGAAATCCCACACAGGTCCTGGATGGCCCGTAAGAGTCGCGAAACAGTGCATGTTCCTCAGATCCCAGAACTTGATGAACGAATCTTGTGCACTTAAAGTAGGAAAAGTAATGGATGCAAACCAAATCTCTCAGCAGGTGCTAAGATCGTCAACTAACAAACCAGGAAAACTGAGAAATAATAGTTGCTCCATAGAAGGAAAAAGATGTGACTCCCTGCCAAAGAGGCATTGACATCAAGGTTATGGAAAACAAGAGGCACTACAAACTGGTGGGGCACGCGTTTTGAAGCAGCCGCCATTCAAAATGGCCACCCTGTCCGCTTCAGACAGCCCACTCTTTAAAGGGAAGCAAGTCTATCAAACGTCTCCCACAAATAACCACCACGACAAACTAAATTGTGGGATAAACGGGTGAAATAAACGAATTTTCGGATCCCGTTTGAGTCAAACAACAATCTAATGCTTTTTCTCAATTCCGGCCGCATATCCGAGAAGGAAGACGACGCAACTCGGAGCCGATTCTTTAAACAAAAGATTTTCTACAAAATGACAAAAATGAGGATCTAACTCGCCCCAAATGGTAGTAAGCTATCAGTAACTTGTACGTTCCTCATAAGCATGTCAGCGAGTGACAGAAAACTCCTATTTGACTGTCTCAAAGACGCTGAGATCTCTCACGTGATTTGAATGTTTTGTTCCAGAATAGTCTGCATTTATATTCCTCCAGTACGAAACTGATCCAATATTTTTATTGTCTCTGTTCCAATACTGATTGGCCAGCGCCACCAAAAACATCTCCAGAAGGAAACGTTCTAAGCACGAAGATGATAAATCCAGGGTTCAACGTGAATATTCGAAGTGGAGATATCAATGACTGTTATCAATAAGACGAAGCCCACCGTCGGTGCGCCGGGCTGATAGGCCCTGATCCGTCACACTGGAAAACGGGGGGGGTCAAAGGCAGCTCCAAGCTCATGATTTTACTAACCTTTACCAGGTTGGATCCAGGAATACAGCCTGTCAACGTTGCAGGTGGAGGTGTGGTGTGCATAACGCACGGACAGACGGAGTGTCAGTTCAGAACTCGGGCGAAAACCATCCGAGTGGCCAAGTGAGCAAGATGTCGGGAAGTGATCTCGCGACGGCCCGGGTTCGATTGCCCTTAAACCTTTGAACTGGCTCTCGATCCTCGCCCAGTATACACGGTAATCGTTCCAGAAATAAGGAGGTAAATGACATTCCTTCTAGTTCAGGCGTATAACTTCAGACACCAGTTTGGACAGCCGTTCTTCGAAAGAACTAATGTGATCCTGCTACCTGAACACAGCCCACTGAGTCAAAGAAAACTACTCAGAGATGATATCATTTGGTACAAGGTCACTCGGAAACCCAGAGGATGTGATAGGACTGGCAAAATCTCACAACGCCCAAGCCCAGATAGCAGCTATCCCAAAGTCAGGGAGTGATATAGAAAAAGCTACTCTTTGATCAGAACCTTGCATCTTAGCATCCAAGCCGAAAGGAACTTGAAAGATAAAGCGGTTTTCGAATAATGCAGCAAAGTATACTCACACGTAAAATAACAGAATCAGCGTTCAGCTGTAACACATTCCGGTGCATAGCTGCAATGCCATTCCAAGGAAGCATGAGGGCTGGGACATTATCAGGTTGCCCAAGCTCAGAGTAGTCAGGATGCCCGGAGTCGGGTTCGAGGCACAGAACCTCAAAGTCAGTAAGTTCGCGATTCAATCACCGAGCTATATCAAGCTCACACGTCAACTTCCTAAGAAGATAAACGAGATGTTCATATCTCCAAAGCTATCCAACTACGCGCAGGACGTTATCGCCTTCGAGGGGTATGCCTGCGACCGTACTACACTACTGCACAACTATGTACCTAATGGACAATCAACGAGTACTCGCTGCTCATCGTGTGACTGCTCTCTCGTGGCTTTTCTCGGACGATTGAGCCTTATGGAACATTGTTATTCGTCTTTTCAATATGGACTGGCTTCAATTATAGGACGAAAACTCCGTTGAAAGGTTGCAAAGCCACAAGGAGGAGGCAGTTCGCCTCCGTGCGGGATACTGCCAGGTCGCCCAAGCCTAGACAGGGGAAGTCGAATGGCAGAGGTCGGGTTCGAACCACGGATCTTCCGGTCAGTAAGTTCGCGCTCTAACCACTTGAGCCATCTCGACCAATACGTGTGCGCAATCCTCTATGATGAAGGCAATAGGATGGGCTTTTCGGGAGACCAAAATGTCCGTATTCGTGGCAGCAGCGATGCTGGCATCCCCCCAGGAAAGGCGGCTCATAAAGGACCGACCTCAAACACTGTACACTGATGCAACCCATCAGTTATCGTAACCGTCGAGAAACTATACAATACGGTTGAAAGTATTATGGTTAACCAGAGACCGCTCAAAACGAATCTGTCGTGCGCAGTAGCATCAAGGGCCACCTATAACTTACTCTGCGTGTCCTCTTGCCAGTCAAGTGGGTCAGACTATTGAGTCATTGGCTTCTGGAAAAGCCCCCCCCCCCGCCAGCAAAACCTTAACAACGACTGCCTCGCGGTTCGGATTTTGGAGTCAGATACTCAGAGCGGAGTACTTAAACCAAGCCCTATTCTTTGATCTTGGCAACACGGAAGCAGAATTCGCCCTTACAGATCTCCGTTGACGGACCCTCCCCGACAAATTCCTCAAACGCGTCCTTCTGATGAAGTTAGTCGTCAATAACCTAGCCGTTGACCAAAAAAATAAATCGAAATAAATGTTAACTGAATGAAATAGTACCGTCTCACATTGCAGTTTTCACGACAGTAGTGTGTCAATCGGGAAGCAAGCATCTATCGCTCATCCTCTATCTTCTCTCACAGCCGATGTAGTTTGTACCTCGGAAACACGTGCACAGAACTCCAGTTCGCTCATTTACCCCAAACCGCTCGGGATGAAACCAGATTCCCCGCATTCCACTGTTAAAGTGCCTGATCATCCTGATGCAATGCTTCGTGATAACTACGGAGCGGAAATCATGCTTAGCCTTAGAGCTGACTGCACTTTACTAGACAACACTCCAGTAAACAATTCACTTTGCGCTCTTCGGTTGCCTGACTCAGATTAATAGATTACAAAGCAACACGATCCGACAAAAGGCAGGTCTGAAGCTAAGACAGCTTCGACCAATATTTATCACGGTTACTACGGTCAGCGAGATGTACGCACATCGTTATTCCTGCCGGTGATATGAATGTCTACGTGATTAGGCCTAAAAAGGGTCCGCCTTGGCTGACTAGGGGTGACACCCACCGTACATCATCATCATCACAATGAACGGCATAACATGTGTCCAACACTGATGCTTCGCTGCCGTACAAACATGGTTTATTGGAAAGCGTTATTGTGAAAAAAGTACATGGGGAAGAGACTTAAAGCTAGCTTACTACAGTCATACTGAGGTCCCTACACCTCCAGACTCTCAGGCAGTCTCGATAGAAAGTGATAACAGGAACGCCACTGACGTCGATCAGTAAACATATCTAACAGCGTTCTCAATCAGTTACACTGGGGATCACGCGATCCTCATTTTGGAAGCCGAATCACGCCGACAAAACTGACTTGTTGTAATCTCATTCATACTCCTCTGCCAAGTAAGAGGTTGGTCAACTCCCCGCCAATGTCACTCTGAATTGGTATGTAAAAAGCAAAGCATGGTTCGGCCCAACCAACTCAGCCTCTGGTGCTGGACATACTTTTCTATGAAAGTCCCCGTTAAACTCGTCAAGTCGTTACGGATTCACCGACTCCAGCCTCCACCTGAAGACGTTTCCACTCCACTGCCGGAAGAGGCCATACAATAAAACACCCCGTACTGTGGCCTGATACACAAGTCCATTGATATTCAGAAATATGCCTCTTTGACGTCGTAGCTATTTCAAAGCCCAGACAGGGCAAGTTGAGAGACGGGGGTCGGGTTTGAACCACGGACCTTCCGGTCAGTAATTTCGCGCTCTAACCACTGAGCTATCCCGCAGCAATGAACGTCTGTAGGACCCAAATGAGTGGAAGCGGGTTTTTTCTAAGGTCGCATCAATATGATCCCTGATGACTCCGCTCAAAGCCAGGGACCAGTCGCATGGGTCAGCTGAAATAATCTACCGGTACTTCGGGCTTTCTGGGCTTCTTCCGCTTTTTTATACTTCAGTGTCCGCGAAGCCTCATGGTTGGCGTGCAAGCTCATTTTCACTTGTCATTCGTCGGGCCAAGTTATGTCCAGGACCGGCCGAAACATTTTCCCGGGATTCAGGAAGTGCCACTATATCGCCCCGCATCGTGCTTAAGCGGACCTGGTAAAGGAGGAGAGCCCTTGGCTGCGGAGTTATTTATTAGTAAATGAGAACTATGCATTTGCAAGCCACTACACACGAAAGTAAACATCTCATCTGTATAGTATTTGAAAACTAAACATTCGGGTACATCCTCTTGAACTTTCTTGGATGTCCATTGAATAGAAAATAGTAAAAGAACACTGCAAACCGGTTCCATAATTTTCGTAGTAACATTCACCTTCCACCAGATGCGGGGGCGGACAATAAACTACTCGCATGCCTCAGCACTAGGACGCACCGTTGCATACCTTCCTCCTTCAAAGGTCGGGTGAAGGACTGATGTTTCATTTGCCTCAGAAAGTGATATTCGGCGCTCTTTCAGGTGTATCGTGCTACTTTTGAAGCTGGTCATCGTTTATTCTTTTTGACCCTCGACCGTCTTGAATTGTACAAAGGTTCCCTTGAAAGTCAGTAACGACAAACGGGGTTTGCCACCGTCTCTCCCAATTCTGTGACCCCAGCTCGCTCCTTCCAGCAATCTGGTGATCTGTCGATTTAACGTTTGTTCCTATGGAGAATGGTCAAGCCTTCACACCTGATTTATCTATCTAGTCCTTTCCTGAACGGCGGTCAAGTTCTTTCAAGCTTTTTTCCTTTCCTCACCTATCTCCTCCAGAGGCAGGCGTGTTGTCGGCCACAACCCTATTTCCTGACCAATCGAAAGGCGTAAAGGTCGACCCTAGATCAACGTGAATGGGGGCATGCGTGGTGTTGACTGGATCGACACATGATGCTTCGACACGGCCATCGGCAAGCTCACTTTCCAGTCACTTCCTTTGGCCATCAGCCAGTCCTTATTCGTCCAGTAGGCCGTTTGTTTGAGGGTGGTAGAGTGCCATCTTTAGCCGTTTGATGTTCATCTGCAAGCAACTCCTAAACTTTTCACCCCCATATTAAGGCCCCGGATTCGCTAGGGTCACTTTTGGTACCCCGTGTTTGGCCACAATTGGAGGCATGACCACTCCAGTGATCGTTGTCGCTGCCGCGACAGGTGTTCTGTCATCATTAAGACATATTAGCTTCCGCTGGCTGTCACTGGAAAGGGATACATGATGCAAACCGAATGTAACTCCCCGACCTCTGATACACGAATAGGTTCCATGGGGTGAGTTGCCACCGTCACACCCCACTTTCACCAGTTGGCATCACTTACAGGCTATCACATAAGCAATTAACCCACTCCTCATCCATGGCCAGTAGGCCCTCTACCGAAGTAAGTCATATCTTGGTGCTCCTTGTGCTCGCCACCCCGTGGCTTTCAGTGATAAGCTTCCGTCTCAACACGCGAGGTATCACGAGCAGTAAGACTCGCTGGCGTCCCCGGATATTATAGCAGCTTCACTCAGGCTCAGCCTATCGAAGTGTTTCCTGAAGGTGTTCAGTTCTCTTCCTCCACGTTCTCAATACCCCTTCAGTCCAACAAGGCAGCTGCGACCTAACGCAGTACAGGATCCTACCGCTTTGGTTGCACCAACTTCCCATGATTCTGTTTGACGACGAGGCTATTGGCGCCGATCATGGTCTTTAAGTCCTCATCTTAAGTCTCTATAACCAATCGACCAAGTAGTTCTTTTTCCTCGGCATGTGCCAGATCATACTCATGCCAGTCATACTCTTGTAGCCGGAATGCCCAGTGTGCGAGCTTTACGCGGGTATATCTGGTGCTCCTGAACCACTCGAGGAGTTTGTGACCGGCCTCAAACTCCTGCGAGCGCCATTGGGTGTATGTAAGCTTTCGCCTGAGCTCATCGCATGCAATGATGTACGACAAGGCTGTTCCCACCATCTATCTGAAACTTCGTCGTCGATGAGGGCAAGATGTCTGTGGTTAGAGCGCGAATTTACTGACCAGAAGGCTTGCGGTTCAAACCGGACCTGTGCATCTCAACTTCTCCTGTCTAAGCTTGGGCAACCTGGCAGCACCCCAGCTGTCGTGCTTCCTCTGCGTGATACGGCAGCCAGGCATTGAAAGAACAGTCTTTTTATGTTGTCGACGTGCTGGTTGAAACTGTTCTTACCGCCTCTGAAACCTGGCGCATTCTTCGAGGCGTTCAAACGTACAAAATCGCCCTATTCCATGCAGATCTTCCAAAGATGCTGATCACTTACATAATCCAAATTATTTTGCAGGCTTGGAATGCGCTTCATACCTGCAAAGCATAAAATGCTGCTACAAGGCTGGATGGGGTCAAAGCCAAACCTTGTGCTCACGGACCGGCCACGACGTGGTAGGTAAGTTTGTGTAACTGGGCAGATGCATAAATCCCAAAGGACTGGATGAAGATACCAATTCGACACCGAATTGACGTCAGTAGTCTGTCAATGTCACAGTATAAGATGGGGCGGCGTGATACTGCCACATGAACCAGTAGTTTTACCTCCATACACAGAGAAACTACAAAAGCTGTCAGCGTTTGATCATAGGCGTCTCTGAATCATTGATCGGAACGTCGGATTAGCCATGCCGATGTACGCCAGACGGTCTCAGGAAAAAAAGGACTCGTCCGCTATTTGCATTTCATAGGTCACACTGGTTAGGACATGCTACAGGACCATCTGATTGATACAACCCTCTTTGCCCAACCATGCACCGAACGGAGATTACCCAATGGTGGCCAATTCATGACTTGGCAACGCAGGATGAAATCGCCTATCAAACAAATCAGTTACGTTGGCAACCGTCAGGTCAGGATGAGACAAAGGGTTATTGACCCTGACAGATGGTCATGTCAAGCAACCAAGGGCGATAATTCGTGGAAGTTGTTGCTTTTACTGCGTACCTTTCTTATTCCCTACAACCAGGCTTCACGGTGGGCACGTACGCTGGTTTCCACTCGAAGTCTGATAGTTCACTGGATTAAATTACGTTCGGTAAAGACGGGAACATTCTTCTGAGACTCAAGTAGTGCCACTATTCTGCCCGATATCCAGTAAATGGGTAAGACTAGCGTTACTGTGCCGCCGTCGAAACTCTCGACAGCGTGCAAAGATTCGGCAACCTTTTTCACACTGACATCAAACGATATAGCAGTTCGACAGCCCAGATGATCCCGATAAATTTGTTTGACTTCGGGATCTGTCCGCTTCGTATTGCGACCCTTCCATTGCTCCTAAAAATGGGGAAGGAAGCGGCTGCAGAATCCACACAAGTTTCCCAAAAGAAGTGTCAGTCGGTTATTATTCGACGCCATCATTTAAAATAAAAATAAAATAAATCGTTCAGCTGTAGCGCCCTTTCGGTGCCTAGCTGCCATGCCACCGGAAGGAAGCACGAGGGCTGGGATACTGTCAGGTTGCCCAAGCCTAGACAGGGGAAGTCGAGTGGCGGAGGTCGGGTTCGAACCAAGGACCTTCCGGTCAGTAAATTCGCGCTCTAACCACTTGAGCCATCTCGCCATCATTTACTGATGGAGATTGTCCGTGACTGGTACGCCACTAAAATGAAACCATGTAGCCAGAGGATTTTGGTTATTCCAAAAGCTAGCACTATATGAAAACTGTCCGCGAATTTGCCTCCAAAAAATTAACCGCGATGGAGATGGAAAGTACCTGCTCTACGTTAGCCTTGTTAGCACAGTCGAACCTTGAGGGAGTTCAAGCGTAACCCATGGTATCACCGCAGAACGCAAGTCTTAGCACACCTTCAACGCAGCAGCTTTTGGTCGGGCAACAGACCACTGGAAAACACGGATGCATTAAGTCCCAAATGTAACTCGATGACTTTCGTGAGGTCGTGGTTGTGTATGGGGTGAGATGCCAAGAAGGGCTGAAACCCAGATATGGGGACTGAGGTTCTCATCCAAAGCTTTCGCTTCAGAAGCTTAAACACGGACAGATATTACGAGTGTAGGGTTATTAGGGCAACCGACTTCAGTCAACATAGCTGCAACCACCAACAACCCAGGAGTGGCTGACCGGCCTCCGTTCAATGACAAGCCTGATAAGAGACCGAATGCTGAGTGATATGACTCGAGCTCAACGGGTTCCTGATAAACAAAGACCGTCACGCAACGATAAGCTTGTCACATCACAACGGAGAAGAAGGGAGTTAGCATAAGAACAACGGTTGACGCAGTGTTACGGTTTTATACAGGAATGTTTTGTAAAAGGTTATGTATTTATCCGCGTGTTGGGAGGAGCCAGAAATTTTCTACCACTCACGGGGCAGTTGGCACGCAATTAAGTGTAACCACGTTTCGACCCTACGAGTAGCACGTTGGACAAGTCAAGTACACTCCCGAGACAGCCATTGGCTGAATCTGTATGCAGAAATTGGTTGCCTCCTAGTTGGGACATAGAACTCGCACACGTGATGCCAAAAATGGTCTAAGGTGGGCCACATAAGTAGCAAATCATCCCGCCAATATCCGAAAAGAAGAGTACTACATCTATGATGGAACACAGAGATATGCCAAAGTCCTGGCTGGTGAATGACAAGTGAAACTAGTAGGACAGAAGAACCTAAGTCGGTAAACGTCTGGCTATGGAGAGTGGTAATCTTTACCTGTCACTACTCTTCCATTTTTTGTTTACACACGTTAAATTCGAACAAAGTGACATTGAATGAAACCAATAAGTGCATAAACAGCTACTAAAAAAGACCACTGACCTTGACACAAGGATGGGACCGAAGTTTAGGAGTTTCAAGCGTGTGATAAGGCCCTTATGACCTCTCAGCTTTGAGCCTGTGCCAGATACAAGATCTAGAACGTTTATTTCGGAATCCTTCAAATTGGTGCAGGTGGAAAGTAACTCACTGCGGAACAGACCAGAATATTTTCCTTCAATTCAACGGAAGACACTCTGCCACGGCCTGCACGAAAGTGACATTCGAGTTCTGAGTCCCACGATACAGTGCTGACTTGATGTACATAAACCCATCCGTCGTCATAACCGACGGCAACTTTCAAGCCTCTAGATGACTCATTCCATGATGAACAATGACAAGACACGTTTGAGGCAGACAAATCTCTTTCAAGTAAACAAAGCTGAACAAAAGTTACGATTAAAGTACTTCGTACCGCTTCACATGTCTTTAGATTCCATATGATTACACACTGCGTGGCACCAGATGCACAAATGTCCATTCCTTGACCCATCCGAACATAAGATATCTTTGGCTGTTCACTCGCAACAACACCAAAACGCTGCACCTGATCATAACGCTGGTATGTCTTGGTGACCTTCATTACTGTGAAAGTATTGTGGAGCAGCAAATTTCCGAATGCAGGGGGTTAAAGCAATTTCTGTGGATGGAAGAAGACAAACCCAATTAGGCGAGACAAGACACAAACGCATGAACACTTTATGCGTTAAAATACATTTTTTCTTTGGAGAAAAACCTCCAAAGTATTCCGCTGCCCATATGAAATAGTCGGTACTTGTTATTTTGGAGCATTATGCTGGTGGGCATGTGTACAGAGATTGCCGTGGTTAAGGAGCATTGAGTTAGCAATGCAGCTCGCGTGAACAAACGTGGAGCCAACCAGTTACACTGCTGCTAAAATACACCCCAGCGTACACACAAAACGTGTGGCATATCAGCTGCAAAAGGATGAAAAAGAGGAACAACCTCAAGCCCCGAAGTCCCTCAGGCGAGGAGGCACATACATCCACAACTAGAGAAAATATATAGCAGGCGATACGTCCGAAATCGGCTTCGTTTTACCCTCGCGCAAAGTTGTGAAAGAATTTTTTCGCTTTTCAATCTATTCATAGAGTGCACACGAGTCATTGTTGAATTTTATCACTCCAACATAACATGTAGGAGGTAACACTTGTCATTTCGCGCTCAGTTCCTATTTTCCATCCAGTCTTAGCAATGACATTGGTTAAGACCGACCGCGCTCTGCAGCCATCATTAGACCACAACAGATGAGGGTGAAATGGCTGCCCGTCCAACGTAAAGCGCGGTATGCTATGCCACACCTGCAAAGGCCTCCTAGCACATCAAATGCACGAGTTTACAGGACGACCACAAAAGCCAATAAGCTAATTCTCCTGACCAGTTTCTCTGCGTCAGCTGCTTCTACATTAAGGGTGCTGTAAGGGGGCCAGCCGTCCCCAATAACCGAACANAGAGGCAGGCGTGTTGTCGGCCACAACCCTATTTCCTGACCAATCGAAAGGCGTAAAGGTCGACCCTAGATCAACGTGAATGGGGGCATGCCTGGTGTTGACTGGATCGACACATGATGCTTCGACACGGCCATCGGCAAGCTCACTTTCCAGTCACTTCCTTTGGCCACCAGCCAGTCCTTATTCGTCCGGTAGGCCGTTTGTTTGAGGATGGTAGGGTGCCATCTTTAGCCGTTTGATGTTCATCTGCAAGCAACTCCTGAACTTTTCACCCCCAAGTTAAGGCCCCGGATTCGCTAGGGTCACTTTTGGTACCCCGTGTTTGGCCACAATTGGAGGCATGACCACTCCAGTGATCGTTGTCGCTGCCGCGACAGGTGTTCTGTCATCATTAAGACATATTAGCTTCCGCTGGCTGTCACTGGAAAGGGATACATGATGCAAACCGAATGTAACTCCCCGACCTCTGATACACGAATAGGTTCCATGGGGTGAGTTGCCACCGTCACACCCCACTTTCACCAGTTGGCATCACTTACAGGCTATCACATAAGCAATTAACCCACTCCTCATCCATGGCCAGTAGGCCCTCTACCGAAGTAAGTCATAT